GGGGGCTGCCCCGTCCTGCGCCGGCTTTGCCTTTCCTCTGGCCCCCACCCCGAGCGCTCCGGGGTTGTCTCAAGCCCGTTTATACGCGTGGCTGCGCTCAAGGTGGTATTTCTCAAGCGAGTGGGACGGTGGCGAATGGAAAGAGCAAACAGGGTTTTCCCAATAAAATAATTGATTAGCACCCCCTTGTCCCCCCATCCCCTCTCTCTCCCCTGCCCGCCCGCCCCGGCGTTTTCCCAGGCAGCTCCGGCGTCTCGGAGCAGCCCGGGCGGATCCCAGAACACTTCGTTTTTTGCAGTCATTATACGTTTCCTTTGAGATGATTTACTCCTTTCTTTACATATACATTGGGGGCACTTTGCCTCACTATAGACCAACTGCTGCTAATTTCTCTGGTTTAAAAAAGAGGGTCTGACATTTTCGGGAAGGTTGGGTCAAACGCATGCTGGGGCACACGTGGACCCGGTTCCTTGCGGGGCGTCTGAGCACACTCGTAAAGAATTCCTTAAGCACCAAGGCAAAAGGGACTAGACATCTATTGAAAGGGAAGATAGACCATAAGAAACCAAGAAATCAGACGAAAGGATCTTCTTTTAAGTGATCTCCTTTGGAAGTTTCTTTTCAAAGGCGGTGATCATTTAAGAGAAGGGAATTCTAATGTCTCAGGATAAAACCTGTGACTAATGCCGTTTGACCTATGCTCATGCCGTTTTGTGCTTCCTGCCATTCATTTTAATGTCGTTATCTTCAAATTTATTTCTTAAAAGTCACTCGCTTTCTTTGTCGCTTAAAAAGGAGAAAAAAAAAAAACCACAAACCAAAAACGCAAACCCAAACCGGTCGGGGGCGGGGGGTAGGGCTTGAAGCCTGCGTGTGTCCCGGTCCGAGGCTGGTAATCCGCATGAAATTGGGAGAGCCAGCACTCCAAATCCGGAGAGCGAGGAGCTGGGCTGGGCTGGGCCGGCGGCGGGGCTGGGGGCCGCCGGCCCTCTCCCCGCAGCCCTCCGCCCGGGACGTCTCAATCACCGCCGCGGCTCTGCCCCGGCCCCACGCGGGACGCTCCCCCGAGCCTTTCCCCGCGGGGGGAGCCCGGCCGGTCCCGTCCCCGCGGCTTCTTTCCCGCAGCCAGGGGAAAGCCACCCTCCGGCCCCTCT